TAATGTAGAACCAGTGATTGTTTGGGGGTGGGGTGCTGTTGTATATGCATGTGTCGGAGGGAGGGAGGGAAAGGGAGATGGGAATTCTACTGTTAATGTAATTATTTACAACCTAATAAAAATTGTATTGAGAAAAAATATCTTCATTCATTCATTCATTATCCAAACCGCTTATCCTGTTCAGGGTCGCGGGGCGCTGGAGCTGATCCCAGCTGACATTGGGCGTAGGCAGGGTTCACCCTGGACAGGTCGCCAGTTCATCGCAGGGCACATATAGAGACAGACAAACATTCACGCTCACGGGCAATTTCGAGTCTCCAAATAACCTAAGCTGCATGTCTTTGGACTGTGGGAGGAAGCCGTAGAACCCAGAGGGAACCCACGCTGCAACGGGGAGAACGTGCAAACTCCACACAGAAGGACCACCTGGGATCAGGGATCGAACCCAGGTCCCTCTTATTGTGAGGTGACAGTGTTAAATCTTCACATCTTCAAAAGCCATTTAGATACACAGGAGGTATTTGCCCCTGACGTTACACTTTAAATAATGGTATTAATTGTGATGACGAAGTGTCCCAAAGCGTTAGCTACTAAGTACAATCTTCAGGGTGATTGTACTTTGCTTTAATATTTAAATTGAATGCGAACTAATAGCCTCACTTCTTGACATTTTAGATGGAAACATTGTGTTTTGTTCTCCTCATTTATCTAACACCTGTAGTTATCAGTCATATTACAGATTACGATTTTACAAACTAGCAGCAACGGTCTGTGGGTGAAATTGAACCAGCTGTCTGCACCTTAAATACTGTAGTTTAAGGCTATGTGGTGTCTCAACTGATTTTTATTTACTTTGTTTAGTAAACAAAAGGTTAATAAACTTGAAAAACAATTATACCAGTTTCACTCTCACTGAAAAATCCAAATGTGAAAGTGTTTTTCCATTTTAAAAGTTTCATGGACACAAGATGTCTCCTACTTCACTGAGAAATAGACTAAAGTTAGCATATTACAGTATTTTCATTCGAGGTCGCTCAATCATGTCATTTTTTGCCATGAAATTTCTTAAATATTTGAATTCATCATTTCCCTCCGCCGCGGTTTCCTCCGCACGAGCCGTGTCAGCCAATGGGGTTTGAGATGTGGCGACATCGCTGTGATTCAAGAAAACCTCTCCTCCTCCGCCACTCAGCAAGTCAAGCGAGATCATCCAAATAAGATTTCCGGTTTATACTTTCAAAACAAACCGTATCCATCCAATGTCTCGCGACACAGCCTTGAATAAATGACAGTGAAAGATTCCACGTTCTGCAGGGTAATAAACAGTGGCGGCTGGTGGAAAATTTTCTAGGTAGGGCCATCCTATCAATTTCAGCAAACATCCCAGTATGATTTAATGCAAAAGAATTAAAGTATCAAACACACATTACTACTTTGCAGTTAAATATTTAACATTTATTCCAACACGAAAAAAGCAGTAAATAACACTTATATAATATAACATGTTTATTTATTGAGATGCCCCTATGGACCTTGTTATAGGAGGTAAAGATCAGGAGAAGTAAACATGAAGTGTAATTATGAATACTGATGTTAAATCAGTAACCAATGATTAACCTATTATATCACCAGGCCTTGGCATGTAGTTGATGGGTAAGGGATTGGACATTCCTTTAACCAGCAATTTGGGTTGTTGGGGTTTTACCTGCAGGGTCTTAAAACTTTGAGGTTTATGATCATGTTGCCTTGCAAGATTTTGTGCAAATAAGTTTGCATCATGAACCAGGTCACTAAAAGGCAGCGGTGAGTCACTGTAACTGTTAGGCTCCCTACCTGGCGGGCCATGCTGTAGCAGTACATAACTCTTTGGTTCAGAATCGGAGTGCATAGTCGGTCCATGATTGGTGGACTTCTTTGAGTCACTCAATAATAGCTGTAGTTGAGACATGCTGGGGTCCCTCAGGGGTCTTGTGGGGGGTGCTGCGGGAGTATGGGGTGCCGGACCCGTTACAACGGGCGATCCGGTCTCTGTACGACTGCAGTAGGAGCTGTGTCCGCATTCTCGGCAATAAGTCAGACACGTTCCCGGTGGGTGTTGGCCTCCGCCAGGGCTGCCCTTTGTCACCGGTCCTGTTCGTGATTTTCACGGACAGGATATCTAGGCGCAGCCTGGGGGCAGAGAACGTCAGTCTCGGGGGTCTCGGGATCGCTTCTCTGCTATTTGCAGATGATGTGGTCCTGTTAGCCTCCTCGGATCGTGACCTCCAGCATTCACTGGGGCGGTTTGCAGCCGAGTGTGAAGAGGCGGGGATGAGAGTTAGCACCTCCAAATCTGAGGCCATGGTTCTCTGCCGGAAACCGGTGGATTGCTCCCTCCAGGTGGGGACGGAGTGCCTACCTCAAGCGAAGGAGTTCAAGTATCTCGGGGTCTTGTTCACGAGTGAGGGTAAGATGGAGCGGGAGATCGACAGACGGATCGGTGCAGCTGCAGCAGTAAAGCAGGCGCTGCACCGGACCGTCTTGGTGAAGAGGGAGCTGAGCCGGAAGGCAAAGCTCTCAATTTACCACTCGGTCTACGTTCCTACCCTCACCTATGGTCACGAACTCTGGGTCGTGACCGAAAGGACAAGGTCGCGGCTACAAGCGGCCGAAATGAGTTTCCTCCGTAGGGTGGCCGGGCTCAGCCTTAGAGATAGGGTAAGGAGCTCGGTCATCAGGAGGGAGCTTGGAGTAGAGCCGCTACTCCTTCTCGTCGAAAGGAGTCAGCTGAGGTGGTTCGGGCATCTAATTGGGATGCCTCCTGGACGCCTCCCACTGGAGGTTTTCCAGGCACGTCCAACTGGGAAGAGACCCCGGGGAAGACCCAGAACACGCTGGAGAGATTACATCTCCCAGCTGGCCTGGGAACGCCTCGGGATCCCCCAGAATGAGCTGGAACATGTTGCCGGTGAGAGGGAGGTCTGGGTCGGCCTGCTTGACCTGCTGCCACCGCGACCCGACCCCGGATAAGCGGTGGAAAATGGATGGATGGATGGATGATGTTAAATTAAGCTATGATGAGTTTTCACTGTTAATTTACCATCTCAATTAAATGTTGATGCCTCCATGACCAAGTTAAGCAGATGAGACTGAGGACAACTATGTAGAAGAAAAGATGTTCACTTTGTCTAATATGTAGCTTGTCAGAGTTCTCCATGTGTGTCCTGGTGTTCTCATGTTTCCTTACCTCCTCATCCCTCACTCCCGTAACTGTCCCTGTTGTTTTAAAAAGCTAAATACGTTATTAGCATGACGTCATCCAGCTAGCCAAACCTGTCTGGTGTACAGCTAGTACAGAAGCTTCGCTTGTACTGCTTCCCTTTCCCGCTAGTCTGCTGTCTGATTGTGAGGTCAGGGTGATCTGATATCAGCTCTTTGGCCTGCAGAATCTCCGCCAAAGTTCTCCTCTCAAACGGGTCTTGGAGGAGTAGTGCTCGCCTGTAGAGACTTCTCCTGACGAGAACGCGCAGCTAGGGGGGCCAAATCGTTTTGGCCCCACACTGAATCTATTTGAGGGCGCTGATTGGCTGACTTGTATGTCACTCATTTACATCTTTAATCAGCAATTGGCTAAACTGCTTCATAGACCCGCCTCTTTTGGGCCAAAACGATTTGGCCCCACGTTCTGAGACGTGTGTGCGCACAGGCGGAGTGCACGAGCAGACGAGCACACAGGCGGAGAGCACGAGCAGGAAAAGCATATATTTTGCGCAGATATCATATTTTACACATATTACTGGGTACATTCCATAGTTCAAAAACACAAATATTGACAATTTGTATAATTTATGATTATTATAATT